GTCAAGGAAACACACAAAACTGATCAGTTTTGTGTGTTTCCTTGACTGATGAAGCCTTCTGGATCGAAGGCGAAACATTTCAGCACAAAAAATAAAATAAAATAAACTGTTCAGATAGCACGGTGGCGCAACTGGTAGAGCTGCTGCCTCTCAGCGAGCAGGTCCCTGGTTCAAACCCCGGTCCAGGGTCCTTTCTAGGTGGAGTTTGCATGTTCTCTCCGTGCATGCGTGGGTTTTCTCCGGGTACTCCGGTTTCCTCCCACAGACCAAAAACATGCATGTTAGACTGATTGGTAACTCTAAACTGTCCCTAGGTGTGAGTGAGAGAGTGAATGGTTGTTTGTCTCGTTTGTCTCTATGTGTCCCTGTGATGGACTGGAGACCTGTCCAGGGTGTCCCCGCCCCTCGCACAGTGATTGCTGGACATGGGCACCAGCGACCCCCGTGACCCAAAATGGAATAAACGGGTAAAGAAAATGGATGGATGGATGAAACTGTCCAGATGACCTGACTGAAAAATGTTGGTTTATTAAATCCTGTTTTTTTGTTGTTGTTGTTGTTTTTTGTTTTCAGCTGAGGCGGCTGTCTAAACTGAAGCCCATACTGTCCAAAAGAACCTGGAGACAGTAGTGCATGCATTCATAACATCCAGGCTCGATTACTGCAATGCGCTTCTGTTTGCAATCAGTCAGACCTCCATTGCACGACTACAATTGGTCCAAAATGCTGCAGCCCAATTTCTAACCCGTACAGGCCTGGCCTCCCTGCACTGGTTACCAGTTCACCTTCACATTCAGTTCAAAATACTCCTGTATGTTTTTAAATCACTGAACAGTTGTGTCCCCTCTTATCTCACTGATCTGCTGCAGCCATATGTCCCACCGTGCTCTCTGCGGTCAGTGAATCAGATGCTTCTTTCAGTTCCAGGAACCCGTCATAAGCTCAGAGGTGACGGGGCTTTCTCTGTAGCAGGTCCAAGACTGTGGACTGAGTTACCACTGCATGTCAGGCAGGACCCCTCCCTCACTGTTTTTAAGTCTCACTTAAAAACCCACTTTTATTCCCTGGCTTTTGACCCCGTGTGATTTGTTCTTAACCTGTCTGTATCCTACATTGTTAGCCACTTATCTTCTTCCATCCATATCTATATTTTTATTTTACTTTATTTTATGTTTTGCTGTGAGCTTTGCTTGTTTGTTTCTGCTGTACAGCACTTTGGTTGAACTTGTTGCTGTTTGAAGTGCTCTATAAATAAAGTGGCATGGTAATTCAGGCTTCACTTCTTTAAACACCATCAGCCACCGACAGTCCAGCACCTACAGGTGGCAGCAGAACATGGGTCCAGGTGTCAGAACTGCAGGACCAACAGAATCTCACCTTCATCAGTTTTTACTGCTGGGAGGTACACAGCAGAGGAGGCGTGGCTTACAGGGTAGGAGTCCAAACAGGGAGGAGCTTTATCTGGGAGGGGGGGATACTTTGTGAGACTGGGAGTCTGCTCCGCTGCATGGACCACCTGTCCTATCAGAACTTTAGATTGTTCTAGTCTGTTTGTTCTGGATCGAGTCCTGTCTGTCCTGGATCAGGTCCTTTATCTTAGGTCGGGTCCTGTCTGTCCTGGATTCGATTCTTTGTCCTGGATCAGGTCCTGTCTGTCCTGGATCAGGTTTGTCCTGGACCAGGATGAAGAGGAACAGCAGAGATTTTTCCAACCCCGTGGTTCTGATCGTCTGTCGGTGCTGCAGGGACTTAGTCCGGTCTGTAGGAGCAGGATTTACTGAGACCAGATCCATTACCAGCTGAGGTCTGCAGGGACCGATCAGAGCAGGGCGTCTGTTGGCGGGGCGCTGTGATTGGCTGATGAGGTTTAATTAGATTAATTAATTGACTTGAAGACTTCAGCTTCAGGGTTTGTTCAGTATTTTATCTCTTTAAACTCATTTAAGTCAAATTTAATCACTTTAATGAAGTTTGTTTAATTTGATTTAATTTTAATCAGTCAGACCTTTTCTTAGTTTAAGAGTATTGATTTAATTTTTGTGGATTATTTATTTCTGTTGATCATTAGATTATGTTTGCTTTAGTTCTGCTCAATCAAACATTTTTAGATTACTAATTTATTACTAATTATTCATTAAACTTCAGTTTCAATGTTTAATAAACTAAATTAAACAGTAGACATTACGAGCTCCTGTCAACAGCCAATCAGAGGCTGGGGGAGGAGCCTATCCGCTATTAAAGGGCCAGCTTCACTTTAAAACCAGAAGCAGTTTGACCCACAGATGAAGCTGAACTGAGTCCAAGGTGTTCAGTTCTCTGTCTGGAACACCTGAGGATCCTGGTCCCTGTTGATCTAGTTCCTGAGGTCCTTCTGGAGACCTAGTTTAGAGCCATGAAGCGTTTGAGCAGCCTGGTGCTAAAGAAGTGGAAGGACAAGGACAGCTGGATGGAGAGGAGGAGGAGTGAGCCTTCAGAAGGAGGAGAGGAGGAGGAAGACAGGAGGACAGACCTGAGACACAAACAGACACACAGACAGATGTTGAGGAGGAGGTCCGAGCCATGTGGACAGATGGAGATGGATGAAAAAAAAGAGGAGAAAAGTAACTGGACGAAGTCTGAGTCCAGCATGAAGGAGGACAAGACAGAGACAGGCAGTGGGAAGGATCAGAGGAAGTGTAGTATCATGATGGACGACAGAGTTGGAGGACAGGTGGACAGGATACAGAGGAACATGGACAAGAAGTGGATGAGACGGCGGTCTGAGCCCTGTGGAGCCCTCCACGTCCAGTTGCTTCACTTGGCCGTCAGAAAGAGGTGGACAGGTCATAGGACGTCTTGCAGTGAGGTTGGAGACAGACAAGTGGACAGAAGACAGGAAGATGATCAGATAACCAGAGGGACATCTGAACCAATCGGTCCACTGAACAACAGTAAGACAAACCTCTGGTACAAGTAACTCTAGCAACCAACTGACACCAACAACCTGTAGGAGGATCAGGGATCAGTTCTGAGAACTTTCAGTGGTGATGGGTATGGGGATAGGTGAGAACAGTCTATGGTGAGTCCCCATAGAGTCCAGGGGTGTCAAACTCACTTACAAAAGGGGGCCAAAATTAAAACCTTTTTTGAACTAAGGGCCAATTTCAGAATCTACATTAACTCAAGTCAGAGACCCAGCATCTTTTCTTGGTCACAGGTTCCTCAACAAGAGTTTAATTGGTCTCATTTGATGTTCTCTGTTGTGCTGTCAACATCATAATCAAAGATTACTGAAAAAAATTCAAGAGATAGAAGAATTTTACATTCCACTTATCATCTTGGGGGGCAGATAAGATGTCAACAAGGGCTACATTTGGCCCCCGAGCCTTGAATTTGACACATATGCCATAGAGTATGATGTTTTTGCCAACATGTGTAGTGAGGGTAGGGAGCAGGTGGAAGAGAGCCTGGGGAGGTAGAGGTCTGCTCTTGAGAGGAGGAACGAAAGACATAATCCATATGTGAAAATGAGAGAGAGACACATGAGACAGTGAGAGGGAGACAGGTGGAACAGTGAGAGTGGATCGTCTGTCAGATCACATCTGGTTGTAAAATCTAAAGATGTAAAGTTGATGAAATATTTCGGCAGCTTTTATGTGATTGTTCTAACAGACCAGACCTAGACTTCAGACCTAGTCTTCAGTGACCAGTTCCAGCCATGGATCTGTTGGTCACATGGCCCTAAACAGGCTCACCTGACCTCTCTCAGTGTGACATTAGCAGGTGTTTGGTTAAAGACACCTTCCTGTGGTCGGCCTCTCAGCGCGAGTGGTTTTCTGCTCCCCCCAGTGAGGACCGGGTGCTGAAAGTTCAGGAACAAAGACCACTTCTGAGAAACAAACCTAATCCTGTTATCTGTCAGGTGGACTCAGCGTGCGTCACTGCCGAGCCTCTTCCCACCAAACTCAGCCTGGAACCACTGTTTGTGTTGCAGCTGTGTGATTAGCTGCGGGTCAGCGTGGATCACTTCACCGGGCCATAACCGCCCCGCGGTTCTTTCTGTTCTGTCCGGCTGATAAGGCTCAGGTCATCTGAGGAGGCGTCATGCTCCAGGAGCCAGTGGGAGGCCTGGAGGATCTGGGTTTTCTCCACAAACTCTCACCTGAGAGGAAACATGAGCTGCTGATGTGTTCACTGACGTCCTGTAATTTGTAGCTCTGTCAACAGCTGCTGTCAGGAACTACTTTCTTCTGTGGAGGAATCCAGATCTGCTCCTGTTTTACTCAAAACACGTCCTCAGAGTTACTACAACTCCCATGAGCCTTAGCTCCTGGTGTCATGGAGATGAGAGGTTTTGCTTTAGGCACAAACGGGTCCAGATTTAAACACTTTGATTTAAAGGATTGAAATGTTTTTTCTAACAGCATTTTGTACCAACATGTCTGATGATGGACGTGCAGTGGTTGAAGCAAATATCTTCCAGTCTGTGGCGTATCCCATGATGCTTTGCTGGTGTGGCTCTGACATCTTGGCCATCTTGTAACTTCCTGTTTGGATCATACAGAAAACTCCAGCTCAGATTTGAACCCAACTCTGACTGGCCTGTCCATTGGTATTTGTACAGGGACTTTTTAAAAAAAATTTTTTATTAGTTGCCACTTTTGTCGGTGATTGTTTATGTGTGTTTTAATTTTCTTGCCACCTTGCTGCAAGGAAAATTTCCCTAAGGGGGCAATAAAAGTGATGACGATGATGAAAATTGTAACAGCAGCAGAGGATCATGGGTAATGTAGTCCTGGAAATGTGTGTTCAGGTGGTGACTGAAACCTGATCTTTGACCCACAGAAAAATAGAGAGGACGAACTGAAGGAACAGGACAATGTCCACTTGTCCTGTTTGTGTCCTCATTCATGTTGTTGTTATTTTTATTAGTAAATAAGTAATTTCTACTTTGTGAAAATGCTACAGATGCATCTGTGGCTCAGTGGTAGGGCAGCCGACTTGGGACCATTCTGGTTTATTGTGGTCCAGAACGTCCTCTCTGTCTCTAGTTTAAATACTCGCTCTCCGAGTATCGCTCCATTTGATAAATCCTCTAATAAGACGAAAGATGTTGTTCAAGGTATTTTATATCCACTCCTCTAACTTCATACATAAGGATGTATTAACTGTTCATCATGTGTGTCTGGTGTGTACAATAATAGTTTTCACATCACCAACAGTTTCCCAGCATCATCTCTAAGTGTTGCCAAAGGACCAGGAACCATAGAAACAGGCGTACACCAGTGACCATAGAAACAGGCGTACACCAGTGACCATAGAAACAGGC